ATCCGAGCAACTTCCTCCTGCTGCGGTTTGCTTTTTCTGATGGTGAAGCAACGCCACCATCCCAGTATGAACTCTGAAAAACCAGCTCAGCACGGCCGCAATGACTTCATTATGAAGGATTATTAAACAAACTGAAGTATTTTCATCTCCTCAATGCAAAAAAGCAACAAATAAATGAATAAATACTGCAAGCTTCCTAAAATAATGACCAACTCATTTATTGCCAAAGGTTATTCTTTTTTTTCTTTTGTCTAAAACATCTTTTGGTTAAAAAAAGACTTAAAATAAATATTTATAGATTTTAGCTGGAGTAAATCTTTTATGAATGCATTTCACAATAAAAGTGCTCTAATTTGTTACTTACGTTACATATTTTTTCTGGACAAATAATTCAAAATCTGGACTTGATTTACTGAATTAAAATGGAAGAATTTCCCTGAAATCCATTAAACTGACTGCTAATTTCACTAATTTATATTTATATTTAGTGATGGACAATTCAGCAAATGTACTATAACCCTAACTTTTAGCTTAGCACTTTGAAAACTTTTAATTTAACTTCCCCTAAATTAAGTTTTTCAGATCAATAATAAAACACTAATTTACTTTATTCAACTTCTAGGGTTAAAATCTGAATGAACTGCAAAAATAGATTCTTTAGAAACATTTGTTCTTCCTATAACTGAATAAAATTACACAACTGAATCTAAAAGTAGAAAAAAGTGGAATAAATATGATTTGTATTAAATTGGAAAATAATTTTGGGCTCCTAATTTAAATATTTTGGATTCCACATTAATTACCCTGAAATAAAACTAATTTGTTATGAAACTAATTAGATGCTTTGGATCCATTTACACAAGAAATACTTCATTTGGTTCTCAGTATAATGAGTTGGATTTAAACTATAATATGTTGGACTGAATTAAAATAATTTGGACTGAATTTGACACTTTAAAGGTTTGAATCTGAATAAAGGAGGTGAAACTGATATATTTCACCTTTATTTTGACTTTTATAATTAGATTTCAGTCAGAATTTTGCATTATTTGACTAACTAGCTTTAAAAAAGGACAACTTTTTGAATTCAATTGGATTGAAAATTTTGATTTTGAAACAGTTAAATTTACTAAAACTGCTAATGCTTTGGTTGCATATAAGAACTATATAAATATATATATATATATTTTGTTTTAAACATCCAAAACCAAACAAATTTTAGTCAGAAACAAATCAAATTACCAAAATGAAACAGGAACTCGGCCAAAATATGTCTCCATATGTAGGTTAAACAGGCATAAATGAACTAAATTCATGTTTTTTCAGTAATGTTTTGATGGGTCCAAGTGGCACCACTGGGTTTGCTGTTAAGAATAATATCCCAGATCAAAAGACAAATCAGACCGAGAGTCACAAAGCCACAGAGAGAGAAAGCTGGCGGCTGAATTTAAAGCCTATTTCTAAGCAGAGCAGCGGCTCCATTTAGCAGCCGGTTACAGTTTGCTGCTCCGGCTGTAATGGATTTTAAATGTGGCGAGAAGAAAAGGCAGCAGCATGGCAGGGGGATTACCTGAGTGAGAACAAGTGCTGTTTTTAACTTGTTAGGAGGTGGAGGACCCATATTGAGGCCAACACACACACACTTCTGTCCCAGTTTCAGAGCCTATTCTCGATGCCACAGCATCCGTCTCATCTGCAGGTCACCCCTGCTGCCTCCAAGGACAAACAGCCCATTAGCTAAATGAGCCCGAGGTCCCACACACCTGTCTGTTACTCAGACACAAAGGGACACAGAAAGGCCGACAAACAGAAACAAAAGCACCAGGCGGGAAACAGAGCTGGATACTCTGCGTTCAGGGGGTGCTGGCATAAATAAATCCTACAGATGGACAATAAATCAATAACAATATGTATCGCGACAGACATAAATGACACATCTGATAGAAAATTCAATATTCAATGTAGAGAACCTTCACTGAGCCGCAGTGAATTCTGGGAGATGTAGGCAGAAGAAAGGCTTTAGCCGCTCAATCTCTTAGCAGTGGGCTAAACTAGGTTGGTAGCATCAACTAACTCACTCACTCTTTGGTTACCTAGCAACAACCTAGTTTCAAGTTCCGCCCCAACTTTGGTTGCCTAGCAACAACCTGTTGAGTAACTGGCGCTGCAGCAGTTTAAGGTTTCCCCACCGTGCCTCATAACTGCTTAAAAACAACAGTGAGGAGTGAAAACTGTGGATAAATCAGAAAATGTCAAGCCACCAGTTTGGCAGGATTTCAATAAACTAATCAATATTTATCAATATCGACTGCTATGAAACGCTTTTATTGCGATACGTTCAGTCCTAATCATTATAAGTGTTCGGTTTCTCAAAACTGGTTTGTTTATTCTTCAAATACATTTCGTCTCTCATACAAGTTATTTTCTCCTCACTTTTATTGCTCCATAAGTTAAGTTACGTTGCGGTTTTCAGTTGGTGGTTACCATAGCGACCAGTATGTATCAGGGCCACACTGCAAAAACACAAAATCCTACCAAATATTTTTAGTTCTAGTTTCTAGTGGAAATACACTTGAAATAAGAAAAAAATAACTTGCAAGTAACTTTCCAGCCAAATATAGGAGCTTGTTTCAAAACAGTTAATATTTTTTGGTGTCTGGAAAATGAGCCGTTTTAAAAACTTTCCAAGTGTAACGTCGCAACCCCAGTCAAGCAGAGCCTGTTGCCTAGCAAACCAAGCAGAGCTCCAACATGTTTGGTCAGCTGGTTTTACCGCTGCGCTGTATAATGGCTGCTGGAAGAGACAAATGTTTCGTTTTTTAATTACCATCCAGAAACCACTTGCTGCATTCTTGTTCATTGTGAAGGAGGCTCTATTAATGCTTTTCAAAGATGTACAGTTGTATAATTGTGCATCTGTTTGCAGAAAGTTTCACGTGTGAGTGTAAAGGTTGAGTTGGGTTTGTGGCCAGCAGCAGCTTCTTTGGGTTTAAAGTGACAGATGCCCTAAAACAGCTCATTCTGAACTGAGCAGACTGAAATCTCATTATCTGGGAATGATTTTGTGCAAAACAAAAAATGTAATGACCTGTTCAGGGAAGCCTAATAGGTCACCTTTATAAGTTATTAGTATGTCTCTAATTCAGGCATCAAATATCTAAATTTGTCTCCAGTCGTTGATTGAAGCTAATGCTAACAGGCCTTGCATATGAACGCTTCCTTACAAATCTGCCTTTGCAGAACTGTAACCCAGACTTTCTAATGTCATCCTGACCTCCATCAGTCCAAACTGTGCTGTGCAGAAATTTGTTTTCAGTTCACAGAACAGTAAAGCATAATGAGCCGCGACTCCCAAAATACCCTCACAGGAACAGAGGAGGACCTGCCTATCTGTTTATCACAGCAATCTGTAACCTGCGTTCGCAGGGGATTGTTATTTGTGGGAGACACATGAACGCTTGTTGCTCTCTGGGGAGCTAACATTATTAAAATGAGGAGGACTCTCATGCAAGTTTTCATCTGATTTATGTCCAGCCTCCCCATCGGAGTGAAAAAATTAAGTGGCCACAGGAGATTCTCTGTTAGCGGAGGCTCAAATAAAGCCAGGAGGGAAGAGGAAATACAAATGTAGGACAGAGGATCGTGGTTCCTCCCAGTGCTGGAAGTGTTTATGTAGGTCTATCCTGATGCGTCCCGGTCCACCGGGACGTCGGCTGTTTAGCTGGCGGTACAGAGGTCAGTGTACCAGAGGCTCCAAGGACGTCAAACACAAGGATATTTATAAACCACGCTTTCTCACATTGGTAAAAACAGAACCAGAAGTTCCCCATTTCAAATGGCAACTGATATCGGCTTTGCTGCTTTAGAGATCATTAACGTCTAATCATCTTCAAAAAATCTCCCTTAGTTTGATAAAATAGAGTTAATAATCAGTTTAAATCAACAGTTTTCTGTCCAGCAGATGGAAACACACTAATTCATTCATTCATTTCAAAGTTATCCTGATAATTGGATGGAAACTGTGGAGTAAAGGTGAGCCATTCACACCAAACAACACTGTAGTCATGTTTAAGACAAGTTAAAACATGGCGGTCTCAAAACCACTGGGACTGGTGGATTAAACCTTCAACTTCCTGTCAGATTGACAGCTGGGCCAAACGAGAGCACTGGTTGACGTTTCAGCAGTTCACTGATCACGAACATGGATCCAAACATTGGAAAAAGCAGCCACTTCCCAAAGTCCAGACCTCAGCACTGGTGAAAATGTGATTATTATGCTGAAACACTGGATCTGTACCAGGAAACCATCAAGATTCATGCCAGAAGCTTGGAAATGACAAACAAAACATCTATGATTGAGGTACGACTTGCCAAGTGACACTTAACCCAATATTTGAGTCTGTTTGTATAGGTTTATGATAAACAACAGTGAATAAATTACATAGAGAGGGAAAGGGTCTCGTTTCAGTTGGGGGATTTAATCTAGATGTGAACAAAAGCAATATTTTGAGCTGCTTTTATCCATCATGAGAATGTTTTCATTTCAATCACGGTCTGGATGGGACGCTATAGTCTGAGCTGTCACTGACATAAAGCTGTGAATAGTAAATAATGCAGTCTGAATGAAGGCTTGGGCGAACAATAAAGCAAAGGGAACCAATGTTTTACAGATGAAGCTACAACTGATGCCAGTAAAAATGCATCTGAGACCTAATATTGGAAAATTAGAGCATCTTACTGAAAGATATTCACAGAAATCACTGAAATCAAAACTTTGAGACACAAATAGGGGTATTTCTTTTCCATCTGGCCTTTTTGCTGCTGTATTTATCTAAATATAAGTGTTAGAAATTACAACTAAAACTTAAAATTCACAACAAAAAATAGGAAATGTTTTGTGTTAATTATCTTCTGCTGCCTTTAGGAGAGATTGCCACTGTTTTAAGGTTATTTATCTACATAACAGGAATCCAAAGGTGACATAATAAAAACTAAGCTACCTGTCTTGAAGACCTCGTATCGAACTGAGAATCCCGCTCCGTGGGTTTCATAGTCGGAGACGAACTTGATGAGGAGCTGGTCGCCGCTGGAGATGATCGGCGACGGCGCGATTTTCCCGCAAAACTTCCCCACCATGGACGAAGACTCGTCTGCGCCGCCGTTATAGACTTCCAGATAGTCATACCTATAGGGGGAAAAAAGATATTTCAATTAAAATACAGACATGATACGAAACATTTCACACCTCCAGAAGAACACAGACATCGATCAATACTGATCAGGTTTTCAAAATATGTTGAAGACACATTTTAACATAAAGACTTGGACAAAATGGCTGAAAAATATATAATAATAAAAGGATTTCATATCAGTTGGTATCGACAGATATTCATTGCTTTTTGTCTTAAATAACTGAAATAATTCTTGTTTTATCCACAGTTTTCACTTCAGGCTGCTGTTTTTTTAAGCAGCTTTGAGGCCCGGTGGAAAAACATAAAACTGCTGCTCCGGAACTTTCCCAACAAGTCGTTGCTAGGTAACCAGCAGTTACTCAGCAGGCTGTTGCTAGGTAACCAGAGACCGAGTGAGTTAATGCCACCAGCTTAGCTTAAAAGCTGTGAGAGGTTGAGCGGCTAGTGTCTGTCACGATACATACTGGTATTTATTTATTGTCCAGCTCTGCACCAATGGTAAAAAAAAGAAAACCGTGTCTTCCCTTGTAAAATAAAAACTTAAAACTATCATTAAGCAAAGTAGTTTCTTTTATATATCCACCCCGTTCACAGATAAAAGAAAAACAATTGGCTGTGTGTGTGTATGTCTCTGCTCCACATACACCGATAAGAAAATATCAGCTCTTGTTCAAGTGAGTAAATGAAAAGCATATTAGAAAGATAACAGTATAAACAGAGTTGGAGGGGATGAGAGAGAGAACATGAAGTTTCTCTTTCTCAAAGCGAGGAAGGAAGAACAAGGCAGCGATATCAGCAATGTGAAGAAAATTATCCCCACCTTGAAGTTTTATCTGTCTTTGCTGTCTGTGAGTGGACCTACCACCACCTTTACCAACAATGCCGTTTCTTTTTCAGCATGTATCTCACGTTTAAAGGAAATTCAACGCAATACCTGGACATAAGCTAATATTATAGCCTTATTTGTTGTCGTTGTAAATGTTGTAAATGTGTTTTTACAAGATTTAATCACCTAAAATATGATTTTAAAACCTCAAAGAAATGTCAGAATATATATCCCAAAAGTAAATACTAGAAAAATGCAGGGACTGTATGTTTGGTAGCCATGGGCTTTGAAAGATGTTTCTTAAAATAAAAAGTTAAAAGTATTGTCAAGTTTCTTGATCTCTGAAAAATTTCTGATAAAAATTAACTAAAGCAGTATCAGTTTTCAGTTCAAGAGGAAAACTTTCACAAAAGGCTAACCACTATCATGGTAAAAGCTAACACCGGTCAAGCTAACAGCTAGTTCTTATTAATCAGTGTAACCAGGTAACCACTACTGAAAGTCAAGGTAATTGCCAATTAATCAAACTAAGAGCAATAAGAGTGAGGCTAACAGCTAATCAGAGCTAAAGAAAAAACTGCTATTGATGCTAACAGCTGATCGGAATTAAAATGACAGCTAATCACAATAAAGCTAAAAACTAATTCGACAATTAATGTCACACTCAGCTTTTCAGCATAAAGTTATCAGTTATTCAGCTTCAAGCTAAGTCCATCTTACTTAAGCTAAATGCTAAACAAGCTAGGTAGCAATTAACTAACAATTAATCATAGTCAGTCCAGCTTTTAATCAAGCAAATCTCTAGGTAGAAAATACTAGCAGCTACCTAGTCAAGCTAGCATCTAATCAGTATTGAGGTAACAGTTTATCATCACTAAGCTAACCACTGCTTGGCTGGATAGCATCCAATCATAGTTAAGACAACAGTTATTGGTTTGTAGCTAAAGAACAACAAACATCAGAAGTAGTGTTGATCCCTCTGGTACCTGTAACACATATTAGATGCATTTTGCTAAAACAGAGGGAAGCTAAACGCTAATTCTAGCCACACTAATCAGAATCAGCTAAAAGTCCATCAAGGTAAAGCAAAGAGCTTACCATACTTAGCTAATTAGAGTCATGCTAACAGCCATAATTAAAGTAATTGTAAATGACAGTCAAGCTAACAGGTAGACATAATAAAGTTCATAGCTAATAATCCCAAAGCTAATGGCTAATTAGTGTCAGGCTGAAAAGAAAACACATTAGGAGCAACGTGATGTCCAGCGGCATCTGTGACCCAGACTGGCTGCATTACGCTAAAGTGGTACCAATAACTGGATTCCAGATGATCAGATAATGTTATCAAACTGCTAAAAAAACAGAAAAAAAATCAAGATTACCATTGATAAAGCTATAAATCCATAAAGTAACAACAGACCAGAATATATCCAGTGAACACTCTGACATTTTACCTCAGATTACTGAATAAATTATTAATTTCCATGAGTTTAAATCATAATCTCTGTCTAAATATAATTCCTTCAAGATTGGAGGAAAGGCTGATCCCAAAGCTGCATATGTAGTAACGTAAAACAAAAATGTTGACTGTTTAAAGAAAAATATTTAAAACCAATAAAACTGTCAGAATGATTTCCTTCAACATTAATTATACAAACATATTAACAGACAACAGACATAATAACAAGGTTTGCTGATATTGATCTCCATGTTACATTAGAGCTACAAATTGTAAATAATAATAAAGGTGAAATTCTTCAAAATGGTACAAAACAAACCAAGAGTTCACTGATTTATTAAAAAAAAAGCAGAAATAAAAGCTGAAATGTGTAACAGCAGAAGCTGCTTCAGAACTAAGACTTCACGCTTTGCTGAGAATCCACGGCAGCTTTGGGATCAGCCTTTTAAGACCGAGTTTGACCTTTAACCTCTTCGACAAGAAGCAGGGTAGAATATCAAAATATTTCCTCAGCTTGAAGGTCTCAGGCTTTTGGGTAAAAGTCTGGAGAATTAAAGGAATCTATGACTAATGAGACCAATTTATGAGGAAACACCAAATCTGGAACCAGTCAATTTATTATTTTTATGTTACACAAAAACTTGAGCTACTCTCAGAAAAAACATATTCTTCATTTTATACCAAAATGGTGTGAAAAGAGCAAGTATTTTCTTTCCAATTCCACTAGAAAAACATTAGCTAGTTGTGGTAAAAAAAAAAAAAAAAAACATGTGACATGGGTCTAACAGTGTATGTATACTGGGATCACAGTTTACAGTTAGTTTTTATTTGTTTTGTTTTTATTTATCTATTTTTATTTAATTGGAAGTATCAACTCACCATCTGAGAAGGAGATTTTTTATGCTCTAAAACCAAATAATTCTGTCAGCTTCGCTTTCAGTTTCTAGCATTGTGCATTCTGAGGTGAGTAAAACGGTTACTTCAGTGTTTTTCGAGGTACTGGAGGGGAGTTTTAATCTTAAATTTTTCATTATAACCTTTGTTTTCTGTTATTAAATCTTTTTTATGTAATTTCTGGGTTCCTCAGGCAGGAAACTGGAAAATTTCTGACAAGAAAAAGACCAAAGGAAACAAACACTGCTTGGTTATTATAAAATATTTAATATAGTCTTATAATCAAAAGGGGGCATTGTGCTGAAAAATATTATCTGGTAATAAACTCATAACATGTGCTCTGATAATAAACTTTTCTGCCACAGAACTCATGGTCATCTAAAATCAGATGGAAAAATAATGCAGCATTTATGCTGAATTAATGCAATAATTATTAACTAGCAAATACAAGACTTCATAATTAATTATTTGTGTTTTATTATTCATTTATTTTGGATATTTAAAATGTCTTCCAGGTTCAGTGTTAAATATTCATTAGAATTTAAACTTTATTAATCTATAAG